AAGCTAGACAACAGTCTATTGAAACACGACATATGAGGTAAAGGGAACCAATCAGAACATGCCACATGAAGCAAAGGAAACACATAATTTCAAATAAAAGTCATGAAAGTTTGGACATTGTTGTGATGTGCCATAGTCAACCTGCTATAGAATAGGGTTAGTGGCTGTGAGCTAAAATGTTCTCATAGGGCGCACACATAGGAAGTTATTGGTTACCAACCAATGAACCAGTGCGTAGGTGGCAAGGGGGCGGAGCTTTATCACGGTTACTTGTGCGTCCGGACTAAAATGCTGAAGAGGCTGTCCTCCTGCGCCAAGAGGTTAGGAGCACTGTCGCACTCTACCAGAATCCCAGAGGAAAACACCAGCACCTGCTCCGCCTCCAAGATGGAGGAAACCAGGTGCTGTGTCAGAGGAAGAGAGATGGGTGGACAAAGGAGAAGAAAGAGAGGGAAAAGGGGATGAGGGTGAGGAGAAGAAAATGTAAGGAAAGTGTAGCAAAAACAGCAGCAGAGAAGATCATGCATTTATTCAAAGCTCTATGTCGTTCTGTGGCACTTTAAAAAACAGTAATATGTTAATAGCAAGAGATTGATAGTAAGTAGAAGTCAAGAACTGAGAAAGAAGTTAAGATGTCAAAGCCTGGTAAGCATTTACATTCCTCATCCCTTTGTATTGTTTAGAATATTTCAGTTTTCATAGACCAGAAAAAAAAAAAAAGATTTAGGTTGATAAACGGTAACTTACAGCTATGGTGACAACTGTCCGATCAGCAAATGCAGTCATCACCACTTTCTGAAGAATATTTTCCTGTTGAATTTACCACAAAATATTTTTTAGTACCATTAATGTGTTTTTTTTTTTTCATTCATGGATTCAAAATGTCTTAGAGTCAAGATGAAATCAACATTGACCTTATTTACTTTGATACAATCCAATCAACTCTCAATATTGTTTTTCTTAATATATTTCACTCTAATACATCACATTATGGAAGTAGCCTACTTGTGTTGTGATTTTAAACAGTCTTAGTTTAGTCCAGAGTTTAATAAACTAATTTCCTGGAAGAAGACTAGAGTTGAACAGGACTAAATTGAGGCTTAAATTAAACCCATAGATGTAGATGTACCGTGGCCATGTCTATAGAAGCTGTCGCCTCGTCCATAATTAGGATGCTGCTTTTGCGAACAAAGGCCCGGGCAAGACAGAAAAGCTGTCTCTGTCCCACGCTGAAGTTCTCCCCTCCTTCTGTTACTACAGCATCTGGGAGAAGATAATACACACAGCATGATGCTTTACAGCTGTTTAGACTGACAAAATACTACTTTTCACTGAATAAAACTAAATGATAAGGTCAGAATACTCCAGCTTTTCAATTTAATGAATTTCCAGTCAGTGTCAAAATTACGAGGTGACTGACATTATGATGTCAGCCAATCCTGACAAGCATTGAACAGTTGGAAAGTTTCATTCTTACCCAATCCTCCTGGGAGTGCTTTCACCATGTTCTTTAACTGGGCGATTTCAAGCGCTTCCCAAAGCCTGTCATCAGTGCAAGTGCACTCGGGGTCAAGATTTAACCTAAAATGCACATATGCACACATTAGTTCACTCAAAATGAAAATTTTCATCATATATTCATCCTCAGCTGCGGCCTTCGCTATGGTTCACCCATTTCACTAGAAAAGGCCCTGGAGCTCGCAACACTTGCGCTTGTTTTTCTGAATATCAGCATTTTTTGCAAATGTGACATTGATTTTTTTTCATTCCAATTCAAAAAACAATATTTTAAAAGGCTATTACGAGACTTACTGTACATTTTAGTCTGGTTTTCCTTTATTTTGCCAACCAACTGAAATAGTTCCAAATAGTAGAGCCATTGTGTGTCTCTGAGTAGTAGTTTCAGTTTCGTTACTGAATGAACCCACGTTTTTGAATCGTTCTAATGAATGATGACTCACTCACTTCGGCTTTGTCCCTGAATGAATCAACCGTTTTGAACTAATCGTCTGACTGAATGATTCAATGACTAACTCGTTAAGATAACGGTTTGCCACCACCCACTGGTGGGTTTAGTATCATTTCGTTTTAGTTGTGGGACTGAGGGACGAAGATTGAATGTTGTTTTTGTTTGTACTATTGTTTGAAATATGAGATAACATTCGAGGGCTTGGAGCCAGAAGGGACGTAAGTGGCTTTTAACAAACTTTACAGGAGAAACAAAACAAAATTTTGACCATGCTTCAATCACCTGTATTACTAACCTTAAACCACAAACATTGCAACCACAGGCATACTTACATGAATGAGTATTTAAGTAAAAAATGTATGGCATATTAACACAATGAACATGTTCTAAAACATTTAAAAAAAAAAATATGTCAGATACGCCTTTTTGTTGCTTTATTCAATACAGTTTGATCTCAGATCAGTTTTTTTGACACCATTGGATAGAGCTCATCGAGACCTTTATTTTGATATAAAGAACTCGTATTCGCCCAAAATGCCACTTAAATTTAAAACAGAGATAAGGTAATTGCAGTCGCATTGCACACAGTCGCAATTGCAATGGTTTAGTTGAACTAAATGCAGCATAGACTGAGCCCAAGTTTTGAACAGTAGTGTACATGAACATGAATGAAATTGGAGAGCTTTTTAGGCACTCAACAACCCAGTCACCATTCACTTTCATTGTATGGGAAAAAAAGCAGCTTGGACATTCTTCAAAATATCTCTTTCCATGTTCCATGTAAGAAAGATGTGGGATTGGAGCATTATCAGGTTGACTAAAATGTGACAGAATACAACTATTTGGATGAACTATCTCTTAAATCAACAACAAACCCAGGGGACATTGTGTCAATGCTCCCAAATGACCATAAGAGGCAATGCTGATGAACCCGTTCACATCCGTTTTATCACACTGGGAAATGGCTTCCAACCACATTTTCTTCCTTTATGGACAGCCTGTGTTTTCCAAAATTAAAATAAAGAAAAGATTTGCTGTACCAATAACTCGTACGTTCTGTCTCCTGGGCCCAATGATCCATTAGGCCCGCTTCATATAAACATTGTCATGACAACAGCTTGCCCAGAACCATTCCCAGATGACTTGTGATGGTGGTTCAGTTTTATTTTCTTTCTTATCCCATGGCGGCCTTTTTAAACAAACCCCATATGCTCACTGTCTTCAGAAACAAACATGACACTTAGTATCCGTGAGAAGTTCAAACAAGCTCGGAGCTGAGGACTCACTGGTTGACTCACCAGAGAAAGAAATACTTAACAGTGTTTGAAAAGAAACAAAATACTAAATGTATAGCTTATTCTGAAAAGAGCATAATTATGCAATGCCAATAAAGTGGAATGCCCCCTATGTCACATCCCTGTGTTTTGTAAATGATCTGTGTTTATACAGAACTTCTGATTAAAAATGTCAGGCAGGAAGTGAGTGTTTATTGTCCCTGGTCTTGTCTGTTTGGGTCAGTTTAGCCTCAGTGAGTGTGTGAGGTGCATGCGTTACGCAGATACAAATGTATCTGTGTGTCTGTTTGTATGTTTGACCGAGCATGTTTGCGTGTGTTTACCGGATGGAGCCGCTAAACAGCACTGGATCCTGTAGGATGATTGACATACGGGATCTCAGGGTTTGTAGCGGAAGCTTGCAGATGTCAATGCCATCAATAACAATCTTTCCTAAGGCAAAAAAAAAAAAAAAAGAGATGATACACAGGTTTTGAATTAGCTTATTATTCATTATAATTTTAGTTTAGGTTTTAGTCATTTTTGGTACATGCTTGTAAAACTATTTTTTAACTAACTTTCATTTATTTTATTGCAGCCTTATTTTAATTAAAAGAAATTATTTTTAATAGTTTTAGTTAACCATACTGGTTTATATTTTATATTTAGCTCATATGAATTAAGATAGTGAACATTTGTAAAATAAATTTGTTATATATTTAAAATGAACTACAAAATGGGGGTGAAAGTTGTTTAAAATTGTAAAAAGACATGGCGATCAGTTATAGCACATTAAATACTTTACGTTAAATATCAATATTAAGTGTTAGTCTATCTATATTATGCTTCAACAACTTATATTCAAGATATTTAACACATCTAGCTTTATAAGATATAGCTATATTTAGCTTCACACAAAATCTCAAACTAATCTCTAAATTTTTTTTTCTCTTTGCCTAATAAAGGATTGTTTTTTATTAGTTTTGGGTGTTCGGTTTAGTTTACAGTAACTTGACTTTAATACATAGTGGTCTGTGAATATCCGAAGACCAAACAAGCTATTAAGATTTTCATTTTAGCTTTATATGGACACGGTGAAGAGAGGGTCTGTGTTCATGTGCACGAAGCTAGAACTGTTTGATTTGGCTAAAGATTTATTTTGGAAGAATTAGAGAAATATAAAGTTAATGCTGCACACTGGATAACATGATAAAACTCTTGGAAAAAATAACTGTGACTTTTAAATCTTGTGTTTTTGTTTTACTTCACAATAAAAACAATACCCTAAAACTGATTCAATTAAAAATAATGTTTAAATTTTAATTTAATTTAATTTAAGTTTTAAGTCCTTTGTCTTTTTTTAATGTAGATATAAAAAACAATATTTTGCATTAAGAAATGCATCAGTGAACATTACATATATCATGTTATGTATATTTAGTACAAAGTATTTTTTAAACACATTCTGTTTCATATTTTACTACAGATAAAGCAATCAACCAGGTTAGAAAATATATATCTGTCAATAATGACCGTAAGACTCAACAGATCTCTATGGTTAATGTCTAAATATGACATCATGGCTGCTTGTCAAAGTGACAGTAACCATATGGTAACAGACCAAACAACACGGGCAAAGAAAGAAATGTTTCTGGGCTTAGCAGCTGAGGACATTTAAAATAGCTTGATCATAAAAGTCGGCTTTTCTTTCATATTTTCCTAACTCCTTTGTTATTCTCTCTTTTATTCTCATTTAGTCTCCCCAGGGGCGAGCTTGACATACATCTGAGCGCTGTAATTCTCAGTGAACCATAATAGTGGATTAAATGGAGACTTACCTTCGAAAACATCCACCATGTTGAAGAAGGCCAGAGACAGCGAAGACTTTCCACTGCCCGTTCTACCACAGATGCCCACCTGTTACAGTAAGAACAACATGTGCGAGCTTTAAACAGCTTGACATTTTCAGATTGCTTTTGTCTAAACACATTCAGGGTTGCTTCTCTTCTAAATTACACAAACTAGTGAGGACAATTTACAATTCCCAACTAGAAGCCATCTGTGCTGTCGTACTCGTATAATGTGAGCCAGGGCACCTCTAAAAAACAAGCTAATGAAGATAAAACCTGAGGAGGGAATTATTAAAGATTCTGAATTCTGATGAGCTGAAAGATTTTGCTGCACATGTATAGTCGTTATTCAGGCAGAAAATAACTGTGCTTTGACAGTGCAATGAGAAAATTAACGCCACTGTGACACAACCACAACTGAGTGGTACAGTATGTGCTACAGCAGGACGATCAGTATCAAGACCGCCGAATGCTCTTTGACAGCTTTGGAATAATTTGACTGTGACTTATTGGACCAATTAGCTTTTAGTTTTCATTTTAGTTTAAGATGTAGTCAGTTTGTTCTGTGCTTTTGTCTTTTATATTTATTAGTTTGGATATTTCTATTTAGCTTTAATTTATTCATTTTACGTTTTAGTAATTTTAGTAGTATTTTTTAATAGCTTTTTAATAGCTTTAGTTAACAATAACAACACTGAGTTATTGCTTGTTTCACCATCCTTGCCTATTGTTTAAAGATAAATGACAAGATTAATGAAAATGAAAGAAACAATAGAGTTCCGGAGTTATGACGTCACTTTTTTAGGACAACTCAGAAGTTAGCGGCGCATGGGTTCCCTCGATCGAAAAGCTATGCATTTTTCCCAAGCCTATATAAAGATTTTAAAAAACACAAGCAGACACAATAAAGTTTAAAAAAACACAAGCAGGTTATAACTGGTGTGTTTTATGTCATAGATCAAAACGTGAAAATATTTAGAGGCTTTGTTCACAGACCCTATTTCAGGCGATTTAGCAAAAACCCATTCAAAAAAACCCATAGACTTTAGGGCGAGGGAACCGGTAGTGCTAAAATGCTAACTCACTTCTGCGTTCTGGCCTACAAAGTGACGTTGTAACTTCGGCACTCTATTGCACAAAGTAATAAGGGGGAGGTTTGGTGAAATCACTTTTTAGAGAGAGTTGTTGTAAGTTGGTGTGTACCTTCTGCCCAGGGTTGATATGGGCATTGACGTGTTTGAGGACAGGTTTTAACAAGCAGTCGTAACGCACACACAGATCGTGGATCTTTATTTCGCCATGTTGTGGCCAGTCTTCCGGTACCTGTGAGACATCTAAAATCACATAAAAACCAGAAGGAGAGTGAGTGAAAGGATTGGATCTGGATTTAGGTTACCATTCCATATATTCAATATTGATACCAGTATCCTCATGCTATAACCATTAGCATTAGAAGATCAAATATAGCAAAACTGACATATCTGACTGGTCATGTGATCTTGTCATGGTGGCCATCATAAAGGATCCCCCTTTATTGACCCCAACTAAAATTGCTTATCTGGGCCACCGAATGTGTCTGGAGGCTTCATGTTCAAAAGTACTGGGCTATTTATGTCTTTCGGAGTAAAACCTTTTTAAGTGAGAAAAATAAAACTTGTTTTTGGATAGAATTTGGTTTACAGAAAGGTTAGCCACAGAATGTTCTTTCCTGCCCAGTCAGTGGATTAAGCGCCGCCACACATGACTTTATCTGAGGAGAGTGAAAGTAGACATAACACTGATATAGCAATGGCAACAAAAACCCAGAACACTGCAAGCGAGCACTTTAACAAGCTGCAATTAACACAGCTATATATGGTGTCCAAATGTCAAAGTTTTGTCACGTGACGAGTCGACTACTGTCCAACTCAGTTTTCCATTCTGTCACTGACAAAGAGATGGAGAATGAGCTATTGTTTGCGGCTAACAGGGGCTCTAACAGACTATTGCTAAAACTCATTTTTCTCAGGTCTCCTGCTTCTCCTGCTAAACATAATGCTCTCAGTGGTTTGTGTCAGGTCGCTCTGTCCTAATGCACTAAAATGTGAGGAAATGCACATGTAGCAGCGATCTGGCTGCCAGGAAGCTGGAAATATGTGCTTTGATCCAGTAGGTCTTCATTTAGAGACTTTAATAAAACTCTGGATTATCATAAAAGTATTTCTGGTTCAAAACTACTAAATGAGTCAGAAAATGATTAATTACCCATGGATCCCTCATAGTTCTCAGATTCTGTGCTCAGGAAGCTGTTGACCTTCTTTACTGCAGCCATCTGGACCTCCAGGTCTGCCAGATTCCTCACCACCCAGTTCAGGTAGTTTGTCACCTTAACAAAAAGCACGTTGAGGACATTAACTTGTTTTTTTATCACTGAGATAAACTTGATGACCACTGTTGCATGCTAGAAAAGCTGTGTAAACTCACAGTGAGGGCATAGGTTAGACCCAGTCCAACCAGACCAGATTGAGATGAGGTCCAGATAGCTGCCACTGCTGCAGTCAGGACAATCACAGCACCCAGATAATCCTGAGACGAAAATATAAATGGTATTATTTAGGTTTTTAAGATACCACAGACTTACTTGTTGACAGCAATATACTGTTAGAGCTGTCAAGCGATTTACATTTTTTTAATCTAATTAATTGGCACTTAATTCATCTAATTAATGGAAATTACCTCCAAAAGATAATTCAAAGTCTTTATTGTGTAAAATGAGAAAATCATCAAATAGACATTACAATTAGTAGCTTAAAAAAAAAAACGAATAATGGGATCATATATTCATTCGAATTATCTCGCCAAAATGTAAAATAGTTACGAATTTTCTTGATATTGTTAATATTTCTACATCACGTAAACACTGCTTAAAGTTTTTTCAAGATAATTAAAGTAGTCTTTTTGTGTTGTTGTTTTTGTGTTCCGTTTTGTAATTTCCTTTCAGTTGTCAATGTGATTTAATTAATATAATTAACATTAATAAATCATGGTGTTTTACTATGAACTTGCTACTTTTGACATTCCTTCATATCTTCATATCCACCACCTCTGAAATCTAAAAACTCAAGGCGATCATCAGCACGTGGCACTTTACTTACAGTTCTGACCTCCAGCCACCGGTTGGCAGCAGAGAGAAATAGGTAGGCTGTGTTGTTGGTGTCAGTTAGCTCTAACATCCGCTGCTTGAAGCGAGCCTCATGCCTGGAAACAGAGACCTTTTACTATGTGAGTAAAAAACATTTAGTGCATGATAAAGAACCATGACCGAATATAGCTAAACAGCAACACAGCTGTGAAGGATGAGAGTGTTCAATTAATTCATGTAAACATTCTCTAGACTTAACATAGGAGATAAAAGCTTAATTTTAATGTTTCTTTTCGGATTACTTTAAGTCAAGGATGGTTGAATGTTCACCATTAGAAATGTTCTGGAGCCTCTGAGACTGCATCAATTCTACACAGCTGATATTGTACAAAAATGGTTTTGTATCATAAAGCCTCATTTAATTGTCGCTCATATATATGCAACTGCTTAGTTCTGCATCCAGTCAGGAGAACAGAGAAAAAGAGAAAATGTGGGTTATATTATAACAGTGTGTGCTTTCAGAAAAGTCTAGATTCACTGACCTGAATGCTCGGATGGTGGTGAGGCCTTCTGCAGTCTCAGAGAAATGACAGAGAAGAGGCAGTTGAGTGGAGTCATCGAGATCTTGCAGATCTCTGAAGGAGAATAAGAAAAAAAAAACCAAGTAATTACTTGACATGCAGTGTTCTCTTCATGCAGTGCAAAAATCTGGAGATTGTTGATTGGATTTTGAAATGTGGGAGTTGCACTCAAAAAATGAATATGAGCTTGCTGTCGATTGTAAGAAAATGGCAGGGTTTAAATTAACTAAAGGATTGGTCCATCATTCGTCACCAGAGAGAAGTCTGTCATTTTTACCAGACCAAGTTATGAAATTTTGATTAATGAACTTTATTCAATCAAGTTATTTTGACAAGTGTAAGTTGAGTTGGGTTTAGTCAATTCAAGTTTATTCGAGAGTAGAGATAACATGTTTCCAACCTTTGGAACCACTGTCCATGACTGAATCAAAAGTATTCTTTTGACTTAATTCATTGTTCAGTGAACTACTTACTTGGAAGCAACCCGAAAGTACTTCTGGATAAAGTAGAAGGCTACAGCGAGGGGCACCAATGCGATGAGGAAAGCAGGGGTGACGAAAGCAATGACCCCAATCGCAGAGAGACAGAGAAGAGTGGAGCGAGTGAGAGACTCTAGTGTCGGGGGAATGTGCTGTGGAGATAGAACGAAAAAGTCACACATTATCACATATACGCCATATTCCTCATCTCATTAATACAATATTGTTGACTACAGTAGCACGGAGGTCACAAGTTTGTGTGGAAACCCAAGGCTCGTCTCAATAGGCTTGAAAATAAAGAGACGTACTTGACACTTCAAACAGATCAGTCTTTCTCTCACCTGATCGATGATGTTGGTGTCCGCTGAGAAACGGTTCAGGATTTGTCCAAGCGGGGTGACATCAAAGAATCTAACAATGGTGTAAAAGAATGTTATAATGACATTCCTGGTTGAGTCGATATCAGATATTGTGTTCCCCTCAAATTACAGTAGGGTTAATAATTGAGTACCTGATGGGAGCATGAATGATCTTGTTGAGGAGGTCATGATGGAGGTTTGTAGCTGCAGCTACTCCAAGAAACTCTACAGTTAAGGAAGTGATAAGGCAGAGTGCTATCGCCGCCCCGCACAGGATAATAAACACTGGCACGTAGGAACGATGCTGCCAAAATGCAAAGAACTCCACTTTAGTATAACTACAAAGAAGTATATGATAATGAAAGACAACATTTCAAAGAGGAAACAGCAGTCGTGCGTCACCTCTGCGATCTGTGTGGCATCATAGTTCTTTGTGTAATTGGTTCCGTTGAGAAAAGAATCTGCAGGAATTTGGTTAAGCGGGTTTGAGGACGTCCAAGCTGCTAGCCAGTAGTCAATGGCCACCATAACTGAGTGCTTAGCCAACTTGGATGACACCATCAGGAAGACCATGAGGAAGCCACCTGAGGAAAGGTAACGGCAGCACAACTTCCATGGGATCTTAGAACGGCGGCTGGTGGTGGTGGACATGTTGTCGTCTTCATCCTCTTCCACCTCCTCCTCTATGGAATGGACAAAGAAGGTGTCCAAGACAGGTTTTTCCAAATGGAAAAAGGTTGTGCTGAAATGTAAACATTTACCTTCATCCTCATCGTCAATCTGGTTCTTCGCCTCTCTGGAATAGAACGCTCTCCTCAGGGTCTTCCTCTCCAGAGTTGTCTGACTCTCCAGTTCGGTGTCCTAAAACAATGCAACAGAAATGCAACTTTTTCAAAACTGGTGTCTGTTCAGTATTCATTTTTTACTGAATCTTTTGCCCAGATGAATGGTAGTCAAAGGTGAAACTCTTTCCAAAGATTTTAGCATTTTGGGCTGCAGATTTAACCCAGCCTCTGTTGCTATTAAACACTGGTAGCAGAGCTGGGATTTAACAGTGAAGGACCTTTTCAAGCTCTTGGTCATGTCTGTTCATCAGGGTCTTCCAGTGCTCGTAGAGTTCCACATCATGAGTCTGGATATCTTTTAATGTCCCCTCTCTCAGCACTGAACCATCCTTCATGGCTATTATCTACCAAACAGAGAAAGTATAGAGTCTAAAGCCATTTGTTTTTGGTTATTGTCTTTACTCTAAAAGTAGGATGAAGTAATTCATGTTTAATTCATTAAGACATTCCCCTTTTTCAGAGTATCGTGAAGAACCAGCCTGAAAATATTCAAGACCATCAATCAGCAAAGCAGTTACCCAGTCAGCATGGATGAGGTACTGCAGCTTATGAGTGACCAAGACCAATGTCCGTTTGTCGTCCTGGAGGAACTTGAGTATCCCCTCCTGCATCAGATGATCACTGAGGTGGATGTCCAGGGCAGAGAACGGGTCATCCTATAAGTAAGAAAACCCAAAACCCAAAACCCAGTTAACTCAAATTCAATTCAATATGAGTCTGCAGAAACAGATCTAGACATTTAGGAACCTATATTTAATATAAGTTTCAACTTTCAACTTGAGACAACATTACACTACAAAAGGGAATATTCACAGCAATGCTATAGAAGACCTATTTTGAGTTCCCAAAAGAACCTAAATAGCTTAAAGAATCTTTCCGTGGTTTCAAGGATGTTAAAGGTTATTTATGGAACCAAAGAGGCTAATAAAGAACTTTTTTAAGAAGGTAAATACAACAGTACCATCTCTGAAAATGATCAGTTCAGAAAGCCGTTCAAAAGCAGAGAGCAACTATTTCAATAGTAATTAAATGCGCTTTATATTTGCTTAAATCACTTCCCGATTGACCCAAATTGACTCTAAATCAACCCTACTGACTTTTTAGGACGTGAGACATAACGTCATTCCAAGGAATGGTTATTGGAATGGAATGAGTTCATGATCCTGTCCAGAAGGGTGTGTAGAGTAATCCAATAACAGCCCTTACACTTAACTGTGTTTTCTGCTATTGCTGCCACAACATACACTTTGCTATCATGTGTCAATTAAGAAATCTCTTCTGGGAGTACCTCTGAAATTGAATTAAAAGCTGCGGTCATTCATAACATCTCGAACGTGTGGCAAATCACTTGTGGAGGGTGGAGGCAAGTTATCTGTATTGGAAAAGTTGGTTCCTACCAGGAAAACTATGTTGGTGTTCTGGTACAGAGCTCTGGCCACACAGATCCGTTGTCTCTGACCACCACTGAGATTAATACCCTGTAGGATTACAACACACAAACACAAATTAAACACTTTTGATTCTGATGACATAGTGTAACATCATGGTAGTCTCAATAACAAGTTTTTATTTGATTAGTATCACAGCAGCTGAGGTCAGAGAGCTGGTCTGAAGCCCAGACACAGTGAGCTGTCCTTTCTTACCCGCTCTCCGATTTCAGTCTGGTCTCCAAAAGGAAGGAGGTCGATATCTGGTTGAAGCGAGCAGGCATCAATCACCGCTTTGTATCTGTTCGAGAGATTTAGAGTTAAAACATATAAGAATGTTTCCTCAAAAACCAAAGGGTAGGAATCTTGAACATTAGATCCCGAGGGAGTGAAAATTAACAATGTCATGACCCGGAGTTTCCACAGAGAGTTTTATTATAGTTGAGGTCTAGCCCTGAAGGCTGTAAAAAGACAACAAAAAAAAAATCAACCCACTAAACTTATAACCGTTAGTGTAAGTCCTGACTGATTTAAAATCAAAGTGCTGTTAAGGCTATAAGGCACAATGGCAAGTTCACAACATTTTTTCCGATCATTTTAACTTTGCGAGCTTTGGAGTACTAGGCTTCCCTTGCATGTTTCTGATTAAAAAGGTATATTTGATGAGAAAAATGAAAAATACGACTTGATTTGATCCATTGGAGGTTAATTGGATGGTGAAAAGGAGACATGCTGTATCAGAATGCTAAAACAGTTATGTAAGCAATAAGGTACGAGAGGCTGTGCTGTATTGTGAATTTCAGCACTTGACTCGAGTACCTTATTGCTTTTATAAAACGGTTACCACACAATAAAAATATTAAAGTAAAAAAATATGTATTAGTGCAACTTTCATGAAGTAAAATCACTAAAAGCCAACAAGAAATAGTCCCTGACCGTGACCAGCAACAATGTCCCAATGTGTAATATGCATGAAAGCTCAAGTGATCAATAGAACCGTTGGGGGAAGCAGTCATAGCCGTGTTTTATCATGAATAAAGCACAGCTATTGACCAATCAGAATCAAGTATTGGAACTAACCATTTTATAAGTGATATTAGAGTATGGTTGCAGAAGGGGTTGCATGGAACATAAGAGGAATGTTGCGTCGTGCACAACTTAAAACAAATGTTCTAGTGATTCAAAACAATGAAACTAATATCCCACATGGCCACATTGAAGTGATGTCATTTCAAGGGAAAAGCAAGATATTATTTTGTTTAAAGAATTTATGACAGTTTGGGGAGAGATTTTGAGCCAAAATATGCACCAATGAATCATTCACAATAAGACCATGCATTAAGGAAGTAAACAGTGTCAATTTTGATTTTATGCTGACTTTAATTAATTCTGATTAAATAGGGATTGCAGAAATTATTGTAACAAGTTAAATAGATAACAAAGAAGTTGTTCTAACATACTGGCATTTTTACAGTGACATTTAGAGATCTTTTGAGCTCACCTCTGTTTATTGAAAGGACTTCCAAACGTGATGTTTTCCTCTACGGTGGCGTTCAGCAGCCATGACTTCTGCGTTGCGTAGGCCACGGAGTACCTATTTTTACTGAGCCAAGACAGGTCGAGAAAGAGAGGAAGAAGGAAAGAATCGATAAGCTGGAAATGTGGAAAAACACCCATCACAGCAAACACTAATGTTTCTGCTATGAAATGAAGGAAGAACCTGGTTAATGATGAGATTAAAGCTTAAATGCAGGGAGACCTTCACTGTGAAAGCTGATGTGTGTTTTACAACATTTTCTCCTGTCCTTTCTTATTAAGAGACTGCCGTTATAATCGCTACAAAACCAAAAAGAAAACGCATTATCTCGAGCACAGCCTCTTGTTTGACAAATTCTTTCCATTTGTTCTTTCCATTGGAGGGGTCTGGCTTTAACTTATCCAAATATTGAATACAAAATCAATATAAGTACAAGAAACACCCAGTGTGTCCAAGAGAGGTGAAGACTCCCGGCATTTTTAAAAACTTTGCACTGCACATCTCACAAAAACAAACAACACCACCCATTTATCGAAGCCAGAGAAATGTAAAGGAAGGGATTTTTTTTAAATGAATGCATGAGGGGGGGATGAGGGCACATCTGCTGAAAGAGTTCGCAAACGGGTGTACCTCCGATCTTCATGAGACAGCTCTGTATCGTTCCCGCTGCAAGTCGGCATTATAGAACATCAACACTGCTAGTTAGCAGTTGGCAAACAAAAATCTTTAGACTAGGCCATTTGAATTTGACTTTGGATTTTAGAGCTCACTGTGTGGCATGTAAGCATGTGAAGACCTCTGGTGAAATACCTTATGTTCTCATCGAAGAGTATCTCACAATCAGGCATCCTGATTTAGCGTGCCATTGGGGAAGAGGACACAGAGAAACAAACACACACACGTGATCAGATCTGTAACATGCCGTTCTGTAAGAACACTGACAGACTCTCCTCATGAGGTGGATAGAGTGATATTTATTGAACTATAACCGGTCCCCACAAACTTTTAGTTTTAGTAATATAAAAGTATTATATTTTAAATGGAGAGCAATGCCATTGTCATTAGAGAACCTGAAACTGGAAAACTCATTGCACTGTTAGCAAAGACAGCAGTGCCTGACATACTGAGACTGAATTCACAACTTGTATCGAAACACAGTTGAATTCAATATGGCAAATTGTCTTAAAGTGCTCTTATTATACTTTTTCAGTTATTACCTTTTATGTAGTTTGCTATATAACTGTTTGTGAATGTAAAAGATCTGCTAAGTTAAAAGAAAGAACTGATTCTGAATTTCCTGAAACGAGTTGTCAGTAACTGCACCTACGTAGGTTTGTAACAAATTTGGAGAATGCTCGCAAATAGTATTCATTGGCTGCCCTCGAACAACGTCTACTTTGACCAAGAGTTTGTTTTTGTGCTGTCGACATGTCGAGAAGACGCTGTTTACTGCACTGCGAAATCAAAACTGCTTTCCATGTACTTTTCAATGGATGAGGAATAGGGCTCGAATTGATACAGTAAAACCAACTCCATCATTACTGTTCGTATAACCGTGTATACAAATCTCTGGAAGCCTCAGAGCTGAAGCTCAGATATGGTAATGGACGTTCTATTTCTGACATGCATGCTAAGCGACAGACTGGTTAATCTGACCAATCACAGCAGAGTATCTCTCTGAAAGGAGGGGTTTAGGGAGACTGGATCCTTTGAAACATACGAAAAGAGGTGATACTGCAATGTAAATTATGAGAAAATCACAGGTTTTTTTTTAACCTTGGATACATATAAACCTATTGCAGAAGACCTCCAAAAACTAAATTAGGAACCTTTAGGGGCACTTTAGCCAATTAGTTTTCCTCCATATTATTGTGAACTGAATTCAATATAAACTGTACAATTACAGTGGCCCCGAAAAACAATTTTGTAGTTGTCCAAACAATAAAAGTCACTGGGGTTCAAAATAACTCTGGGCCCCATTAACTTTCATTGTATGGATATATTTTTTAAATATCTTCTTTTATGTTCCACAGAAGACATTTAAAAATGTTTGGATTGGAATGACATGAGGGTGAGTAAATGCTGACCGAATTCTCATTATAGAATTGTCATAATTATTTTACTTTAAGCCACACTTAAAATGTAAAAGACAAGGACTACAAACTTAGGAATTTAAACAACTAAGATTTCCTCTGGTATTTCTGCTGTAATTTATGACAACGCCTATTGTTTTCAAACGTTTTATTAACAGAAACCAATAGTGCTGATATATTAAATTAAATTAAATTAAATTATTAACCACAATTCATATTGTAACTGCCAAGATTCTGATTCTGTATTTTCTTCACTAAAAACAATAGATCGAGAGGGGGGAAAATAACCTGATTTCAGTGTGCATCCTGGTTTTTATCATTTAAATTAAGGTGAGAACCACTGCACTAGTACCAACTATTTTATCCACTAAAAATAATATTTGGACCAGCTGGTTAAAAGTAAGCGCAAAACAAAATGGCTCTGAAAACTTTGGTTAGTTGAGAAACTGTTTTCAGAAGCAAAAGCATTTAGATGGAAAGCATTTAGGTCTAATGCAATTCACGTTTAAAAAAGTGACTTACGTTAATATAATTTCGGAGCCAGTGTAAATGTTATGTATAGAAATATTTAGCATGTGGATTTGCCTGGCTTTGCTAACAAATGC